TAACAAAATCAATTAATTGTTCATCATTTTCGCTCGTCATTGTATTAATTAAATATGCGCACCGCTACACGCGAAAAACGTAGAACTACTGTTTATCACCGCTATGACGGCCGTCATGCAAATGACAGCACCGCTATTTGATGTTACGGTGACACTCAACGTTCTCTAGAAAACCTACTCCGATGTTATTTATAGACAATGTATGGGTGACGTCACTAGGGTGGAACATTCTGCTCCTCAGCATAATGCTGAGCCAGGGCCAATTACAACCACAGCACACACGCATTACACACTTGAAACAAACCGAATGGGAAAAGGGATTTGATATTTCTTTTTTTTCTTTGATTATTGTTATTGTGTGTGTGATTTTGTTAGTAATAAATGTTCTATGTCTAAAGAGAATTAGTACCAACTAAATCCGTGACCTTCCACGTCGGAGCTGCAACGAAGTAGGTCAGCGAAATGCTATAAATAGCTTGGGCGAAAGTCGGGCGCCGCCCCATCCCGCATCGATCGCTCCATGTGAACGTTTCAAAGGGCCCGATTGTAGCCCTAACCTTAGTGACAAAGAAGTATACAACCTTTTTATGAATTTTATTTATAAAAAGGTTTTACAAACTCTTACTCTTACAAAGAGTGCAGGAGTTTCTTGCCAGTTCTCGCTTCACTCTTGATTTGGTCAATTTCCTTATATTTTTAATCGTTTTCTAGACGGTATAAAGTTCGTGAAAATTGAGCAGTGTTGGTCTGGTGGCTTCAGCGTAAGACTCTCATCCCTGACGTCGTAGGTTCGATCCCCAGCTGTGTACCAATGGACTTTCTTGCTATGTGCGCATTAAACATTCACTCGAACGCTAAAGGAAAACATCGAGGAAACCGACATGTCTTAGACCCAAAAAAGTCGACGGCGTGTGTCAGGCACTGATCCCCTACTTGCCTATTAGGATGAAAAATGATCATGAAACATATTCAGAAATCTGAGGCCCAGACCTAAAGAGGTTGTAGCGCCACTGATATATTTTTATATTATAAAGTTCGTGAATAATATCTAGGCTTGAAGTTTATGTTACGTTCACGTATAAAATTAAATGAATAAATATATAAATCTGTGCGTATGCTCCTTCTAAACGGCTGGACTGATTTTCCTTTAACAGAATGGAACAGTAAAGGTGCCTTTCCACATGAACAAGATGTAAATATCTTTATTACCCGATTGTCTTTTGTGTAACCTCACCACCTACAAAAGCCTACTCCTCAGAAAGCTGCATGAGAGTACCTACTTAAACCACTTCGGGCTATTTTAGAGGCACCAGAACCAGTAGGAAACTTCTATGGTGAGAAAATATATGAAAATACTGTTTGAAACTAAATGTTAGGAAAAAGTCGGTTTAAATTTTAAACTGAAATTATAAAACACTTGTTTTCAAACCTGTTACAATAATTATTTATGAAGCGTAATAGAAACTCTCGCGAAAAATAATAGTTAAAAACACATTTTTAAACAAAGAGACCTCGCGATCCTTTTGGAAGCATGGCCGTATCAAGTGAATATAGTTGCTCTCTGCCTTCCCTTCGGGAAAAAGGCGTGATAATATAAATAATATATTAAATATGGGGAATGGATATTTTTTTTTATTTGAGCAATTGTTTTCCAATTCCACGCGTTGCATCTGTTATTTTATTACTTTTAGTATGATCATATCTAGTTTTACCAGCCAAGGCTGTACATTTTGCTCACTAAGGCTTTCTTATAAGCGTGGCGATTACCTAAATCCTCGGAGTTACGCCCCGAGAGTACAGCCAGACGTAGGCACTCTCTTCAACAGTTACATTGCATTCATTCATAAAAAAATATTCTATTATTTAAAGCACCCCGATGACCCGTACTCGAGTGGTCCTTGCGGTGTCTTATTTAGGAAAAACATAGCTAGTTTCATTGAATCGCTCAGTACGGAGAATGATTTATGTGTAAAGTAAATATATAAATGGTAGTGTAAGGATATATTATGAGATTCCATTGACAACCGCAAGGGTCCTTTGAAGGCAAAAGGGGTACACAAACCTTGGACCTATAAAGGTCCGCAAAGGCTACACAATATGGAATATTATATTTATACTAGCTGCCCCCGCGAACTTCGTTTCTCCTTAATGCCTAGCCTACCTTTTTAGTATAATACCAAGATGGAATATTTTGCTATGCTACCCCAGAGACTGTTCGGTTTTCCGGAATGAAAACTTTTTAGGTTTTTCTGTGATTTTTCTCTATATAAGAGTTCAAGTTATAAGTTCTTAACTAAAATTTTTGGGGACACCCCTTATCACTTAGGGGGTTGAAAAATAGATAGTAGCCGATTCTCAGACTTACTGAATATGCATAAAAAATTCATAAGAATCGGTCGAGCCGTTTCGGAGGAGTATGGGAACGAACATTGTGACACGAGAATTTATATACAAACGTGATACCTGTGCGTACATATAATTTCACAAAATCTGTCATAAAGTTTTTACCTGCTCGATCACAATTTCCTTAAATGTCCTTTTTAGTATGGTGTGTACCCATTTCACCCGTTTTAGAATTCTCTTCGAAAACGGGTTTCTTGCATCGGCTTCCTATACATTCTGTTACAAATGAAAATGCATTTTTTTGAATGAAGTAATGTAAATTAAAATTTATACCTACATATTTATTCAGCAAAAAATAAATAAAATATTCTATTCGAAATGGCTTTGGCTTTTACACAGGCCTTTAATGTTTGGCCTCGAATCTATGGATTTACGCACTCTTTCCAAGGGGAAACTCGCCACTGCTTGCTCCAAAGATATTTTTAAGAGACTCAATGACGCCGTGTCGTTTAGATCGGTTGAATAAGTCACTAACCTACAGATACCGGCAAACATCTTGAACAAATGTCCTTACCTGCGCAGAAGCGATCACTGGGGTGGCGGGAGAGTGACGTGTCGATCGCGTGATTGATAAATCAGTAGACGTTTGTGTCCCGCAATGCGCAAACTTTCCCCCACTCCCTTGTATAATGCGAAAAAAGTTTGCCGGTATCTGTAACTGTTTAGAATCTTACGAATGGGTATCCGTTAGTTTAAAATTTACAACGAGGCGTCGCAAATTGATAAGTTTGCGAAAATGTGGGCGTAAAATAATTCAATTTGTCTCTCGTTTAGAATCCTACGAAACTAACTAATCCTATTAACTTGTGGATTTTGTTATCTTCTGGAGTCATATATGTATACCAATGGCTACAACTTCTTAGGTCTGGGCCTTGGAGGCTGTAGCACTATTGGCAAATCAAGTACCTAGTCACCGTGGAATGAACCAAAATTATTTTGAATCTTCTAAATGATCTGGATAAAATCAAATTGGTTGCTGATGTTTTGCTTTTACATATTTTTGTTATTTTAATTTTATAATACTACAAAATGTAATTATTTAATTTTTATCTCACAACCTGTTTTATTACTCTTTAATGTATAATATTCTACGGTTTCGATACTTGTAAATATGTGAGGAACATGTATACTAACTTTTTTTAGTATAGTAGTTTTATTCTAGGAGTACATTGTCTTCACAAATAATTATTTAACTTATGTATACCAAATATTGTAAACCTATTTTAAAAGAGTAAGTGTGGAGTTTCTTGCCCATTCTCCACACGAAACTACCTTTTGGAAGGGGCAACTAGAATCATATTTATATTTTCTTTGACGTTCAAAAGTGCAATTTTAGGTGGTCTAATTGAAATAAATGATTTGACTTCACTTGACTCATAGTTATTTAGAAGCGTCGTCTCAGATCAGGTTTATCGACTATAAGTAATAACTTTAAAGTTGAGAGAAATTTTCTCTTTAATTTCCTTAAAACATAAATGTTTTAACTGCGTCATAATTTTTTTATTACGTTGTAATTCAGTTTAAATGCCGTTCTGAGAAGTCGAAGGCTCGGTTTTAAAAAAGTTAGTAAAATTTAATTTCAAATACCTGTAAATTAATAATACTTTGCTTGATGTTCGGATTAATACCTGCAGCTGAGTTTCGTCATCGGACGTCGAGGCAGAGTACGAAATTCCACCCGTATCACCTCAACGTCCGCCGTTCCACAACTGAGCGTTTATCAAGGCAGTTTTTGCCGCGCACCACCACTTTGTGGAACCAGCTGCCCACTGAAGTATTTCTGAACCAATTCGACTTAGGGTCCTTCAAGAAAAGAGCGTACCAATTCTTGAAAGGCCGGCAACGCACTCGCGAGCCCTCTGGCATTGAGAGTGTCCATGGGCGGCGGTATCACTTAACATCAGGTGAGCCTCCTGCCCGTTTGCCCCCTGTTCTATAAAAAAAAATCCAGTCAACCTTAAGGCTTGGCCTGAGATTGCATCAAGTAATTTGATCACTTTTATTCATCATAGACCAGTACTTCTGTCTTCTGTCTTACGCGTGTCGTCGATTTTTAGATTTGAGATATGCCGGTTTCCTTACGATGTCTTTCTATATCGTACAAATGAGTGTTAGAGACATTAAGTCCGGGGATCGAACCTACGACCTCAGGAGAGTCGCCAGCAGACGCCACTCAGCCAACACTACTCCACATGTCACCATTATTATATTGGTATTGCTATTTTGAACCAATGGCAAACCAGAACAAAACTTTATTCGTAAATAAAAAAAATTCTTCTCGATATAACAGTTTCCGAGAAATATGTGGACAAATACACGAAATTTAGCATACTTGTCGGGGAAGGATGGTGAACAATTCCAAATGGTGGATGGTCAAACCACTGATTAGACCGTAAGTCCAATGGCTTTTTTTAAATAAAATCTCGGTGTTGGCATGAAAGGCATTGACAGATCAGCTTGGGCGGTTTTTGGGAAGGGTAGTTCTGCCGGAAATTTGCTTTTTGCCATGAGTACAAGGGCGTCTACTGCAAGACTCAGACCTCAGCTAGTATCAATCGCCTGAAGGGCGGGGCGACAGCTCACTGGAGTAGGCGAAGATGAAAGTATGGGACCGCGATGAGGAAGCACGGGCTTTGCTGCGTAGTTTCTCGTTAGCGGGATGGAGGAGGGGATTACCCGGACCCAGTAATATGTGTAGGGGTCTTCTACGGGCCCTTTAGGCCGTTTCTCCACTGCTCCGGTCCGGCAAACGTTAATTACCGATCCGATTTAGAAACTCACAACAGTACTTACGTACTTCTCCACTACTCCGGCATCCGGTTTTTAACGATCCGATAACTTGCTAGATCGGAACGCGGTGTTTTATCGGTCCAAGTATATCCAAGAGGTTATAAATTATTATTCACAGGTTTATTTTTATAGTTTGTTTAATTTGAAAGAATTTGGATAACCTGGACCAAATCAAATTATGTTGCTATTTATTTATATTTTTATATCATAGTATTAGTGAACTATTTATTAAGTAGATTATATTATTTTAAGATAGACAATATAAAAAAGTAATACACTTGCCAGGGCAATAAAATATTCAGAATTTAGAACGTTTTATTAATAAAATTAAGTATATGGGTTTTAGTTAATAATAACAAGTTAATAAAAATAAATAAGTGTTGCATGATAAATATACAAGTATCGATTATTGTCGGATCGGATGTAGTGGAGAAGCGCAATCCGGCCTTCCGATATTTTTCTCATGACTCATTCCGGTATCCGACGTCGGACCGGAGCAGTGGAGAAAGGGCCTTACTGTTGGGAAGGGAATGACAGGCCCAAGTCATGAAGATGTACCTAGTTCAGCCATAAGTTCGATTGCATTTTTTTAAAATGAAGTAATGAAATATTATTAAAATTTATACCTATATTTATTAAAGTCTCAGCAAAAAATAAAGAAATATTCTATTCGAAATGGTCAACGTTGGCTTTTATACAGGCCTTTAATCTGGCCACGAATGTGTTCCAAATTCAAAATAATTAAATAGTTGAAAAAAAAGAGAAGTTTCTATGTAACATTATTTATGGCCAGACTAGTTATACATATATCATTAGCGGGAAATACTTCGTAAGCGCGTTTTAGGGTATGCAATCATCGCAGTGATTGTAGTTGTGTGTCCCAATGTAGGTGTCCACACGTAAGTACTTATACGCCTTAATAGATCATAATATTCTCTGATAACCTCCTTTATTAAGTCGGACAAGATGTTTGCCCCGAATTTTTTAGTTAGTACATTACATACGAGTATTAATTTTTATCAAACTAAGTATATATTGTGATCATTGATTGAAATAAAAATTGTTATGACACATTATGAAGTGACTTAGATAATTGTTGTCTAATATTTGTTAACAATTAAGCGATTTAGCGAGAGTCTTTCCTCCAACTTTGATTTTGTTCCCTTTGGAGTAGAGACTCTTGGGCCGTGGGGTTCAAGTGCACAGGAGCTAATTAAAGACTTACGTTGCGCCTGGTAAAAAATACCGGTGACCCCTTTTTGGTGGTTTTTGGTGGCTGGTGCCTTCCTTGCTCAACGAATAGTTGTTAGTTATTTGCGTGTTGTTCCTACGTGAATGTAAGTGCGTGCTCCTATTTCACCATGCCTCCTGCTGATAGAGTACAAATCATTGTTTTTAATTTAATACTTAAGTATCATGTGGAACATGGTGTAATGGTTGCAACTCCTTAAAAACGTTGTGTAAAACAAAAACTTGGCGATTAAAAAGAGTGGCGGAGAGTTTATTGCCAGTTCTTCTCTTCCGTTCTACGCCCTTGTTTTGAGAACTGGCAGTAAATGTAAAATTAGAAGCATTTAATGTATTTTTTTTGACGTTCATAAGTGTACATTGTGTTACCTACATGAATAAATGATTTTTGTTTGTTTGTTTGAATAAGTATCGCAATTCAGCGAGGCAATACTGCCAGCGTTAAAGGTACACTAACACAGGGACCAAACATTTTAAATTTGTTTTAAGTTTCTATTTATTAATTTGTAAGGTTAAGAATATTGTCAAAGCATTATAAAATGTATAATAATTTATATAATTTGATGTTTCACGTGCTTTGTAGCAATGACAGTAAATAAAGATTTATTTTACAAATTATTAAAGATAAATAAAAAAAACATAATAAATTTTCGTTTGTTACAGCAAAACTAGATGGCGTCAAAACCTACATGCGCATGCGACGGGTCCCAAACCACTTGCAAGTGAAGGTCATTAAGTGGTTCGACTATCTGTGGCTGACACAGAAGTGCTCAGACGAGGAGAAGGCTGTGTCGTGTCTTCCCGATAAATTAAAAGCAGAGATAGCTATAAATGTTCACCTTGATACTCTTAAGAGGTAAGGTATATATTTTATTAAAATATTGGAGCAGTGTTAGCCTAGTGGCTTCAGCGTGCGGCTCTCATACCTGAGGTCGTAGGTTTGAGCCCCGGCTGTGCACCAATGGGCTTTCTTTCTATGTGCGCATTTAACATTTGCTTGAGCACTGGAGGCTGATCACCTACTTGCCATTTAGATTTAAAAAATATCATGAAACAGATTCAGAAATGTGAGGCCAAGACCTAAAGAGGTTGTAGCGCCACTGATTTATTTATTTTTTTATATATTTTATTTATTATCTGCAATGAAACTAAATAGATTTTAGAACGGATGTTAGAAGTATGTATTAAAAAAAAGTGACGCTAAAATCTTTGACCAAGATTTTTTATCTGTTTGATGGTTTTCTTTCTTAATAGTCAAATATAATCACCCTTATGTGACGTCTGAACATTGTTATATTTAGATCTAAGACATGCTGGTTTCCACATTACTTTTTCCCTTCCATTAGTACTGCCGACATTTGAAGGTATGGTCATTGGTCACGCCACTATGTATGTACGCTGTATGTATGTAGTATGTATCCTTAAGTAAAACAAATAAAAAAAACATGTGGCACTCGGGGACTGCCGCGGTTAAGCTATTGCATAGCATTTTTTATTAACTTATGCAATTTGAATTATTTATTTATGCAGTATTTGTTTTTCTTTGATATTATTTTAATCTACCACTCTACCAGACTCAGACTAAAACGCCTATATAGTCTGTCTCACTCTAACGCGTACCGGCTGCACCGGCCGCGCTCAAGCTACGTCACCGATCTCATCAGAGAGATGGGAATGCGCAGTATGAGTGCTGTCCCACTCTAACGCGTATTTGCCGAACCTATATTACGTCATCGTGTGTTTGGTTTTTTTCGTTACGGAATTTCTTGATTCGGTCGCCGCGCTCAAAGCCTGCGATAAAATCTATGCAATAGCTTAATACTTTATAAAGGAGAAATGAAAACAAAAAGCAATAACATTTATTTTGAAATTAATTTAAAGTACTCAAGTAATAAGAGCCCAATTAAATATATATTCAAAATTACACAAATTCCTGAGTTATTACAATTCAATGTACATAGCCTAATTGTGATAAGCTACACAGATTAACAATATATATTTTATCTATGCTTGTACAATTTATGGATTACGAACCTCAAAACGATTCTATAATGACATACTTAAAAAAGGAATAAAAAGTTCTGTGATGTAACATTACTCAAAGGAAACATTGTTACAATATCACAGCCAGCGAATTTTTTCTCACCAAGGAGCTTTCATACCTTTTCTATTGTCAATGACATTCTAAATTTTATTGATCTGTGCAACTTTGGCGCCATTTATTTAATCACGTTAATTTGTGATATACCGTGTGTAAAGGCATTCCATTGTGATACGTAATTTGACTGTTTGCTAGAATGGAGTGCTACAATAATCCTTCTAATGCTACAGACAATATTTTGTTTTAGCTCGAACTGTGTTGGGGAGTTGTATTTTTCTATATCAATTACGTTAATTGGAGTGGTTTGTTAATTGAGGGATTGTAACCACGTCAGAAGTGATGGGTTGTCAATCGGCCATCCGAGATTTTAAGAATCGCAGAAAACCATGCTGGCCAGCACAATGCAGTAACTAAGACTTCAAAAGAGTCTTCAACTAAAGTCAAATTTTAGTCGCAGCTATAAGATTTATCTACTGACTCAACAAAAACCCCACGATATCTAGGTTTTAATGGCCCAAAAAAAAATTTTTTTTATCTAATTTAACAATTATTCTTATTTTTAACTTTTAATTTTATTTTCTTCACACCACATTACATAAGACTTACACTGCTAACTTTTACTAATATTATTATTTTCTACTAAGTATTGATACATCTCTGATCTTTGGGGTGTATCTGTTTTCATTTTACAATCAGTAATCAATACTATCAGTTTAGAGTTAGCTATAATATTTAATGAATGTATAGATTGTAGAGTCTTTCCAGACCAGATGAAGCTAAGTAAAATGACACCGTTATTCAAAACGGGCAGCACTTCGGAGCCCACAAATTTTAGACCCATATCTGTGCTGCCTGCAATGAGTAAAATCTTTGAAAAAATTATTCTTGATCAAAAGGTAAACGGAAACGACGAAATCCATCACTTGAGAATGTAAACAGTGCCATCTCCAGTGTAGTTCACTGGAGTTCAGTATTATTATTATTTTCTTATGTAGCCAAGTCCACATTTCAAGGATCGTCATGCTCGCTTAAATGTCATTGCTTGTGGCGGCGTCCATGCGTCGGGTTGTCTCTCTCCCTAAAATATGGCGAGGGGGCCGATGGCTGGCCATGCGTCATGCTCGTGAACGGGTGCAACTTGTGGTGACTGTCGTACTTGAATTCGTGTATGCGGTGATGTTAATTATTTCGACTATGTGTTTGCGTGTTGTTCCCACGAGAATGTAAGTGCGTGCTCCTATTTCACCATGCCTCCTGCTGATAGAGGACAAGTCTTTGTTTTTAATTTATGTTATTATTATTAATTACTTAAGATGTCATGTGGAACATGGTGTAATGGTTGCAGCTCCTTACAAACGTTGTGTAAAAAAACATGGCGATTAAAAAGAGTGGCGGAGAGTTTATTGCCAGTTCTTCTCTTCCGTTCTACGCCCTTGATTTGAGAACTGGCAGTAAATGTAAAATTAGAAGCATTAATATGTATTTCTTTAATGACGAATCACAAGTGTACATTGTGTTACCTACGTGAATAAATGATTTTTGAATTTTGAATTACATTCTTTTGTTTTTTTTGCGACTGAGGTGCAAACTAGCTGATGTGGTCTCTGGCAGAATGACGTTGTGGAACAGTCTGCTCCTCAGCATAATGCTGAGCCAGGGCCAATTACAGCCACAGCACACACCCGTTACATAATTGAAACGAACCGAATGGGAAAAGAAAAACAAATATTTTTATATATCTTATTATATTTTTTATTTAATTTTTTTTCTTTGATTATTGTTATTTTGTGTGTTTATGTGTGTGTGTTTTTGTTTGTATTAGATGATATGTCTATGTCTAAATAGATTGTTTGAACTGGAGCAAATCAATCCCAAGAATTGTGTTAACATTAAATCAACGCGGCTTATAAAAATATAATTTTATAAAATCTGACTAAAAATATTTAGTAAAACACCGTCAGGGAAGCAGTTTGAGCTTAATATCCCGTGTCGTATAATTAAAAACAGAAACATTCTCTTTTTATGTCCATGAATTATTCAAAAGCATTCATTTTACGATCCGTAAAAATTTTGTCGTCAAATGGCCACTGCAGGCTTTTGTTTTCAACTAAATTCAGTTAGGTATTCTAAAATTCATGATGAGGACGTGAAATATGCTGGGGTAAAATTATTCGTGTTTTTATCTATAGAACTTGCAACCGCGGCCTGAAGTTTTATCAACATAATTATTAGTAGCGCAGTTACTCGTTTAGTCTGTGTTCTTTGTCTATGCCCACTACTCTCTCTATTTGCGGAGACATTGACGGAGTAGTAATCAGAAAATTCTTCATAGACTAGACTGCTTAGATCAGTATCTCAAGTTAAATTGTCTATCCCTAGACGGAGAACAAGACACTCTTTTCTCGGAAAACACAATAAAAATAAATAAAATAATTTTTTTTTCTCAATTTGTAATTTTTAAGACAAAGGCCTCCTACAAAAAATGCTATACAAAATAATTAAGTAACACATACTTTCTCTCACACACAGAAACACGCACACAATCTAATACGTACGCTTTGTGTATGTTTGAGTTATTATACAGCACTATTGATATGTATTACATTTTACTAGGGTGGTCCATGGTTCTAATTGTTATTAATACATTTGGTTTTATAATTTTTATAAAAGCTAATATTTAAGTTAGACTAGATTGGTATAATATTAAAATTCTACATACCTTTCATTTAAAATTTAAATTATTCTATCTTAAGACACAAGAAGACTTACTTAATTGTATCGCCAATGTTATTAAGAGGATGTGAAGTGAATTATTCGATTTTTTAATTTTATTTTAGTGAGTTTATTTTGAGCAGTGTTGGCCTAGTGGCTTCAGCGTGCGACTCTCTACCCTGAGGTCGTAGGTTCGGTCCCCTGTTGTGCACCAATGGACTTTCTTTCTATGTGCTCATTAAACATTCGCTCGAACGGTGAAGGAGAACATCGTGAGGAAACCGGCTTGCCTTAGACCCAAAATGTCGACGGCGTGCGTCAGGCACAGAAGGCTGATCACCTACTTGCCTATTAGATTAACAAATGATCATTAAACAGATTCAGAAATCGGAGGCCCAGACCTAAAAAGGTTGTAGCGCCAATGATTTATTTATTTTATTTTTATCCGTAGACCTCAAAATGGATAAAGAGCCTGAAAACTTACTTAGCCGTATAAGCGTTCAAGAGATCTCTTTCTGGAACGCTTATACGGTTCGGTACGGTACTTTGATGTGCTGTTTTGCCCTCCTAAGTAACTTAATCTTAACTTACTACGTTAGTATGGGTTAAACTTATAAATTACTCTAATTTAAATAACATATATATGTAAAGTTAAACTAGCATAAGTATTTTTTCTGCGGGTATTTGCTATCAGCCCTAAGGCTATGAATCTGTTCTGTGGAGCTGTTATGTGGAGCTTTGAAAGCATCTACTCATCTTCTGCCTAGAGCTGCCTGTCTTCAAGCTCTAGAATATGGTGACGTTTTAGTCGTCTCACATACTGTTCTATGGTGAGTTCGTTCGGGTGACAGTTAGCTGAAGTTTTTAGTATTGTTTTTATTATAAGCGCTTATTTAATGTAATCAAAGCACACACAAGCAATTTTAATAGTTTTGAAGTTTTTTGAAAAACAATTTCCTTGCAGGGTGGAGATTTTTCAGAACACTGAAGCCGGTTTTTTATGCGAGCTCGTGTTAAGACTTCGCCCAGTCCTGTTTTCACCAGGGGATTATATCTGCAGAAAAGGTGGAATACGCATAATATAATGCTATAGAATTTTGTTTGGTTGACCGCGCTAATCTCCATGGGCATGGCTCATCTATTGGCTTTTTAATTTTAATAAGTTTTTGAAGTTATACTTCTTTTGGCGCGTCTAAGTATCTGTTTAAACGTCGGTAAAATAGTCTGGTCCACTAGTTGGCGCTTGCTCTGTTTTACCGACAAGCATTGTCTGTCATGGCGTAGAGTTTTCAAAGTCGTGTTTATTTAAACCAAAATAATGATTTCTATACGAGAAAACCCGTTCCAATGTTATAAAAAACATAGTGTTTATTGTAAAATACCATGATTAGTACATATTATATCGTTTCGATTGGAAGTGACCATTAAATTGGACAAGAAAAATGCAATTCGAAGAGGGAAACGTCCCTCTAAAGTGCTCGAAGAAAATTTTTACGCCAAAGAAGTATAACTTCTAACGCGTGTACCAAAGTACACACACGTTTTTTTATAGCGTGCACATTTAATTACACGTGTTTTAATTGCAGGCTACCGTTTCGTATGACGTGTTTTCACTATTATAATTCAAAATTGTTAATTACTAAGTTATAGTAAAAATATTTTAAATTGCCAATTATTGTAAAAATTAAGTTTCAAAAACCAATTGTTTAATTGTAGGGGAAGTCGGAAAGGAGATGTACATAGTGAATCGTGGGAAACTGCAGGTGATGGGTGACAACGGAAAAACTGTGCTGGCAACACTAAAAGCGGGTTCTTATTTTGGCGAAATTTCAATTCTGAATATGGGGACCGCAGGTAAACAACTTGGTAAATATCGAAACGCCCGAGACGCCACGCCATTTTTCTTTTATTTTCGGAAAGTCCTTGCAAACGCAAACGTATGGAGACGCTGCAGTCAGGCCGAGGGAGCGGCCACAACGCTATCAACAGGTTCTGGGACATCTACAAACGATCATTGATGCTGATAATTTACTTATAGATAATTTAACAGCATGAATGTCGTTTTGTATGAATTTAATTTTAGAAAACGCTTTATTATTTTTAGTCATGTTATCGCATTAAAGATTTTTCTCTATTTTCTATTCCATTTATATCATCTTAGTGTTGATTCATCTCTTATGAGTTTGTGATGCGTTCGTTATTGCATTCTTTAGCGTAGTGTCAATTTATTTTTGCTTAGATTTATTATCTCCTTTGATTTTATTGAAGGCAGTGTCCCCGATCGCTTTGCATCCCCCCAAATTTTTATATATTTGGCGTGACTTCTTGGTGCATGTGACCCCGATATTAAGAACGTCCACGATTTTCGAATGTAAAATATGCCAATTTAGTTTATTTTCAAAAATTTTTGTATGAATAGAGATCTCAACTTGTAGAAGCTTATTCTTGAACGAAACGTAATTTTTTTATCGATTCCCAATGCTTTGTCTTGAAGCACTTTCTGGTCTAATAGAATTGGCTTCTCATAGTTTGTTTCGAATGTCTCGAGTTCACCTTCATCTTTTGAGGATAGTAATAGATTCTTTAATGCCCTGTCTAATCCTGTGTCTGATGAGTGGTTTGCTTATGATGTATTTGGACCTTGGACCGAATAAATGATAAGCTGAAACCGAGCAACATTTGGCACGGAGTGTGTGGATGACACGTCGACAGGCAACCGTCGGACAGCGTCTGTACGATCCGTGGGATATTCGGACCTGTTTGTGCTGAGCAAGAACGATATGTGGGATGTGCTAAAAGAGTATCCGGCTGCCCGCGTCCGGCTCGAAGCAATCGCAGTCAAGAGACTTGAGAAGTACAGAAGGGTGCCAGTTGACAAAGGTTCGTGTACTACCGGTGCGTAATAAACAACATTTTAATTGGTATTTCCTAAGTGGTATTTAAAATTTCAATTCATTTATATTTGATGATCGGTGTTTTTTGTATGCTAATCGAGGTTTGATTTAATAGTAGGCATGGGACGTTGCCATTCGACTCCTGGTATTATGGAGGCCATTCGCAAAGAGGACGTGAAGCCCTACCAACAGCCTTTGGGTCTACCAATCCATTCGTCGCATCCACCTTCCTTCCCGGACCAAATTAATAGGTATGTATATATAAAAGATGATTTAAAGATAATTATTAATATTACTCTTAAAGGAATCTTGCGTAAATACGCAACTTTCATTTATGTTGGATCTGTTTTGGAATAAGTCGGATTTCAGAACTTTTAATGCTCAAAATTTGTTCCATGCTGTTTACTGTACTGGTTGCTTCATCCACGTGTAGTTTATGATTAAACGATATTTGCTTTCCTAGGTTGATGTAGTTCGGGACATATTCGAGAGACGTGGAATTGACAAAAACTAGTCTTTCTTTGCCGGCAGTAAATTTTTTATTTACCTTTAATTTGTTGTTAGTAAAATTTATATACCTATGTCACTAGCTGACCTGGCAAACGTCGTTTTGCCATGTATATCATGTATAATAAAAAATAGGGGTTGATCGTAGAGGGGTGAAAGTTAGGGGTTGTATGTATTTTTTAATGCTGTATCATAAAAAAATAAAAATTATCTAAAAATAAAAGTAAAAAAATTAGGGGTAGACTACCCTTAACATTTAGGGGGATGAAAAATAGATGTTGTCCGATTCTCAGTTATACCCAATATGCACACAAAATTTCATGAGAATCGGTCAAGCCGTTTCGGAGGAATTTAACCACAAACACCGCGACACGAGAATTTTATATATTAGATTTATGACATTAAAATGTTTTCGCTTTTAAGTTTTTGTAGCCTCTACACTTTTATTTATATTACTGGGTATTTTTTAGTTCGTCAGGTAGTCCTCTACGTGTAGCATCACCAGTGGTATCATGTGGTTCAAGTGCCCGCAGCAGCGCCGCAGGCCCTGGTAGCATGACGACCACAGGCCCCAAAGTGATTCGCGACTCCCATGATGCGCTAGAGTCAGAAATAAAGAGACTGCGCGAGCGACTGTATACGGTGGAAACTGAAAATGCAGCCATGTCAGCTAAACTAAACCAGCAGCAATGGGAAGTTGATCAAAGGTAATGTCAAAACTCCTCAATAACTTCGATTTCGGGATATTTTAACACGTGGCATAACAAATCAACTTAGAAGTCCGGATTGATATTACTATTGGGGACTTTTTAGTACCGGCGTGAATAAAAGTGATGTTCCTCACTTTGAGACAAACGTACACATACTCATATTTTTCTTCGCTGCATTTGAATTATAGCTTCTACATTCGACTAAAAAAATGCAGCTACTGACATTGTCAACACCTATGTATTACAAATTAATATATACTTTTCCAAGTCCGATAAAAGTATAAAAATCATATTTGTTATATTAAGGGTCTGTTTCACAATGTATGGATAAAGTACCAAATAGCTATGCAACACATAAATTATTTGGAAGATAAATTGTGCTATTTGACATTCATCGGACTCATAACTTACGATGGACTTTATGTCACGAATAGCGCTATCTGACAGTCGTGAAACGCAACGATAGTGTTTATCCTACCAATAAGTAATAAATAGCTAATTTGGAACTTATCCGTACATTGGGAAACAGACCATAAGGGTCATATAGATTAATAAAATAATAGATATTAATCATAACGCATTGAGCAGTGGCCAAGTGGCTTCATCGTGCGACTCTCATCCCTGAGGTCGTAGGTTCGATTCCCGACTCTCTTTATGTGCGCATTTAAAATTCGCTCGAACGGTGAAGGAATCGTGAGGTAACCGGCTTGCCTTGGACCCAAAAAGTCGACGATGAGTCAAGCACAAAAGGCTGATCACCCTCATACTACTACCTACTTGCCTATTAGATTGACAAATGATCTTGAAACAGAAATCTGAAGCCCAGCGTGGTGGTAGGTGGATCAGCGTTCTGTGCCCGACACACGTCAACTTTTTGGGTCTAATGCCGGTTGCCAAACACACGGACACAAAGACACAAAGCTCATTTGTTTACAGTGAACACTGCACCAACACTGCTCTATCAAATCATTAAATCATTCATCACGTTGAATACAATTTAAATAAATTTTCGCTTCATCACACAGTTTTTGTATTACCTTTTAATAATTAATTGAATTAAGACGATATTTGCAAAATCTTTTACATCCTTCAAACTAATTGTATAACATTATCTAGAACAAGTCCATTATGCAATTTATTTATTTTAGATTGCAAGAAATAGAGATGCAGATCTGTGGCGGAAGTTCTTCGAGCTCACAGGAGGAGAATGAACGAAACAGGGAGAGCATTATATAACGGCGCGCCTCGCCCGCGCACATCCGTCGCGTCTCCCCTACACATGCGATGCGCATAGCCGCTGTCTGCTGAAACAAACATCTAGTGCTAAGTGACAGGACAATTGGTCAGAAATTTGACAGTTCAACAGGTAATCGAACAGTTTGTCAAGAAACTTGACGGTAATCGAACGGTTTGTCAAGAAACTTGACGGTAATCGAACAGTTTGTCAAGAAACTTGACGGTAATCGAACAGTTTGTCAAGAAACTTGACGGTAATCGGACTTTTTGTCAAAAAATTGACGGTTTTTTCGAATATTCGGAAAAACTCGGTGTTTTGAAATGTAGTTGTATTTACGAATTATAACATTATATACTCGCTATAAGGAGGGATTGTGGAGTGAGATTTTGTCGAGACAATATTTAAATTTAAACATGTGTGTGTGAAGTGGCGTGTGTGTCCTGTATTTGCAGGTTATGTTTAATTATAAATAACTTTACGTTCACGTTGTTTTGTGTATGAGAATTTTACGAAATTTTTATCACTTCGAACGACGCATTATTGACATTTAGATTATAAATAAGACGCGAAATGTCATGTCAGGGTTATTTTAAAAGAATCAATACATACTAAAACAGCGGTTATGGTGGAATTCAATATTGTGTAGCTGTATTAAGATTCACAAATGCCGATAGTTTAATTATATGTATCCAAAGAATGATACAGCCTAGCTACGGATAATAATAACACATTAGTTTAAGACTGGTTTAAGGACAGCTTTTAGCTTCCAATTAAATATCTTAAACACAGTACAATCTCAAACTGTGTTAACGCTGAGATGAGATTTCTTGTTAAAACAATCTGATGAAATGGTATACGGTTAATTCATTGATAGGCTCATAACAAAATACAACATAACTGGTTGGAAATCTTACCAGTACACTTGTTCTGCCATTTCGATTAAAATAACCCTGTAGAGACAATGTAAGTTAAAGTTCCCGATTATTAAATTTATCCACTGATTTTAAGATTATGGTTAATCTTGATGTTCAATCTTATGTTACATTAGGTAGGTCTTCTTTGTCATTAAATTTTTAAGTATCTATGAGTTTGACATAGTAAATGGATCTTTGTTATATGGAAAGATTTTCTGCGTTATGTACGATTTCAATATGTGTTTAATACGTCAAACTCATGGTTGATCTGAGGCCGTAGCACGAACTTTATGACAGTTTCAAATTGGTTTGTAGTTTTTGGCGAACGAAACATTTTTTCTTTTAAACACATGCTAAGGGGCCTCATAGCCTAGCGGTCTTATTAAGTGGCAGCTAGGTACCGGGTTCGATTCCCGGTTCGAGGGCAAGTTTTAATTTAATTTAAATTTGTTCTCGGCCTTTGGGAGGGTTGTGCGGTACCGGGCGAGTGCCAAAACCGTACATGGAGGACACGGTCGAATTTCTAAAGACAAGCACGAATTATAAAAAATCCTATAATTGACGCTGACTAATGCACAAATCGTGCCAGAGCCATAAAAAAAAAAAAACACATGCTACTTTTTATAAAGTACTTTTTACGCCATTAAACCAATCTTTACATATAATTAAGTACTTGATAATTAAATGGATTGGTAACCATAAAATCATTATCCAACTATATATTACTATCAAAGAAACCAATTAACTAACTAAAATTGAGGAACACACATATAAAAACTTCTCATGGTCCAAGTATTTCATAAATAATTTCGATATTGTTCGTGCTGATGCCTTAGATGTCATAAAATCGCTACCAAAAACGAAATCGGATAAATGGCATTTTATTCATATCAAAATTTTAATAAATTTACGAACCGAAGTATTTCTTTATATACACCAACACAACACTGAGAATCAGTGTTGCTAGTGACAGCAATTTAAAGCTGGTTGTAGGTTCTTTTTTATGTTAGCAACACTAATTAAATAGTCCTTTTTTTCTTCAATTTAACGGGCAATGTACGGACGTCGGCGTGGTGGTACGGACGTATTTTAGTGCTCAGTTTTGACGATTTTTTTTTTATTTGAAAAATGTATGAAGTATTTAGTATTCTATTAGAATTGTATAGCTACATAAAAACAGGATTTCAATACTAAAATGCTATATAATTCCAAAGTTGCGACAGTGCATTGAACTATATCGAAATTGTACTTCGCTTGAATCGAATTTGAAGTAATGAATCCTACAAATATTTACGATATATATAGATGAGATGATATTTAAATCATACGAAAAACTATGTTCCCTTAGTGACCACGTCCATGCTTAATAAACTTTATTTTTCCTTCTCTTTATAAACTTGCACAGGAAAACATGTGTCTTCTAAAATCCGTTGACCAGAGTATCCGGATTGTTTTTGGAAGCGGTTTTTATATTAAATCTAGTTAAATTGTTCAATAACAAAAGAAACACGTGTTTACAGAGATTATCTCTCGTAAGATAGAGTAGTTATTCAGAATTGTTTTGGTATTTTGTAAATCACTACTGCCAAATAGAATAAGTATACATAATACTCATTGTTTTATACTCTATAAATCACTTGAGAGCACGAGGCTACGACCGCACTGACGGGTTAAGCTATAGCTCGCACTACTTGTAGTAATATAAGAGAGAAACTTGGGAACCAGACTGACTCCCTTATATCCAATAATTTTTTGTCATCCGGGAGTTAACACGCTTAGTCTCTGTTCTGGAACTAAGACCGCCTTAGAGACGTAGTGCTGAATATGACTTCAGCATGTCAAAAGGGCCGTCAAAGCATTCGCGAGCCCTCTGGCTTTGAAGTCATGGACTATAATTTAATATCAGTTGAGCCTCCTGCCCGTTTGCTCCCTGTTCAATGTGTGTTATTGTTAAAACAATACTTTTGGAGTGGAGACCCTTGACTGACATTTCACTTTATGTCAAGTGACTAAATCAGTGGTTGACATTTATTTATACGTCCTATTTTCTTAAACTTTCATATCTTTTACTTTGCACTCATTCTTCGCCCAGACGAGATTGAGATTACACTCAGCAAGATCTAGGCAAGCGGAGCTAGCAGGCTTATAAATTACCTGAATTAGCCACGGCATATCTTAAGAAAAATTATATATACAACTATACTTACCTAAGAAAGATTACTAAATAACTAACTAAAATTATACTAAAGCAGTAATCAACACGACATCTAATTTTAAAAAACGTTTGCCAACTTTACTTCTAGCAGTTCCTTGTCAGTGTGTGCGTAGCCTTGTAGATGGAAGCAGTTTGCTTAGTATTTCTTAAAATAATTTAGAAGTTATATGGATGCTATCTGTAAATGTAAATATATCTACTAACTTAAGGCTGTTTTTCATTGGGAGATGTTGATGTTAAGCCACGAGCGTTGGAAAGTAATGAATGTTGCTCTTTGTGAGATTCCGCTTGTGTTGGCCACAGATCTTTTAACACCTTTGACCAAAATCAACAGAGCATATAGTGACGTCTGAATGGTGAAGCTGAATTTTATTGTCTATAATCGGTTGTTTGGGGAACACAGTGTCATGCTTGAGGCAGGCAATGAAAATAACATGTATGTCTGTCTCTTTCATAATATTGTACTCTAATCCTCCCATTTTGTCTTATTTTAATTAAAGATTCCGTCTTTTTATCATTTATAAACACAATTAATAAGAGAGTTGTTGTTACTTTGGCAAAACGGTCTAAAGAACTCACCTGTCACTTTTTCTAAATCGATGCAAAACGTGTATCAATAATCAAGTGTCATCTGTCATCTGTCAAGTGTAATTCTCACTTTTCTGTGCTTGACTAATTAATTGTTTCTAATAGAGTCTGGCTAATGAAAGAAGAAAAAAGCGCGGCAAATTCAAAAAAAATTAGTATGGTATCCTTAATAGTTTGATATATTTGTGGATTAAACTTACTTGATACTTGATTTTATTTTATTATTTTTTACATTGATAGTAACTGTATTTCTATGAAATTAAATACTATATGTATTTAGTCTTTTACTATTGATACTTAAAATGACTAGCATTGCATGGACAACTAAAACTATATTTATTATAAAATACAACTTTATTCGGAATAATCAAAATAAGAATCCAAAAAATGAATAAAACAAAGTTTAGGCTATAATACCTGTTAACTATTCGGAAAAAATATACAATAGAAATAAAAATTAGTAATTGCATGAAGTATCAAGACAATAAATCATACTAACCTAAGAAATTAAATGACATTCTGTGTTGCCATCCGAAAGTCTTCAAATAATTCAATTATCTTCTTTCATTAGCCAGTCTCTATTGCATTTATTTTAGTCAAAGATTGTATTTGCTTTTCATCCGATAACATACCAAAGCTTTCATAATAATAAGATTAAAAAAACATTTTATTAGACTCCAGTGTTGTAGCTTTTGATAAAATCTAGATGTTAATTTATTTGTGGCACATCGAAAACAAACTGTGGCTGAAAGTGTTAAAATGGTCCAATTTAATTTCGTTAACATATAACGTATGTTTTATTGTATATAAAAATTTATTTACTGTTACTATCCATTGTAATTCTTGCATTTCTCTTGTAAGTTATAAGCGAGTATTAAAACGAAAATGCAAGCTTTTTACCTAATAATTAATATTATATCTAGTGATTCTCAATGATTATTATGTATAAGAGCGTTCGTACACGGAAAATTTATAATTATTGAGCTGGAGTCTCCGTGAATTGTTTGAAGCCAATTATCTACCTTTTACACGGCTGTACTGGGACTGTATATATATCCGTTTAGGTATTCAAGAACCACTATAAGAATTTACTACATAAATTTCGTTTTGGTCTTCATAAAGAACTTGCTTAATTTAATGTTTATTAAATATACCATTTTAAATGTATTTTATTTTTAATATTTAAACTGCAAGTATATCCAACTTTAATATAAAATAAAATATCAGATAATAGTTAAGCCAAAGGTTTTTTTTTATTATTGAGAAAAAGCTTGCCAACGCT